GGAAATGATGGAGAAAGGAACTAGCCCGGAGCACTTCCTGTCTAGTCAGCAGGAACTTTCAGAGGGATGTGAGACCTACCAGGCTGGGGACAGTAAAGGAGGGTGGAACTCCTGGTCTGGAAGTGTGAGTGGGAAAGCCTTCCTGGAGGAAGGGCTGCTAAGCTGACATCTGAGAACAGGCAGGAGTTGGCTGGGTTGAGTGTGGGAAAAGGTCCCTCCAGACCGGCTAGAGAGATACCCAAGAATGAGAGCCTGATGAAAGAAGTAACTGAAAATGTACATCAGTTAAGAAGGCTGGGTTTTAGCCTGAAGTTGACTTGGTGGGCAGGTGTTCATGACAAGGTTTCCTGGGTGCTTTCTATGTGGCAATCACAGCTGTAAGTAGCTTCATGAGATTGGCATCTACGGGGAAAATATCCCACAAGACCAGAGGCAGAGACTCTGCTGAATTCATGCCAGAATTGATAGGTGTCTGGATTAGGATTGTGGTTATGGAAAAGGGGAAACGAGATGGATTTGACAGATGTTCAAAAGATGAAATAGGCAGGAATTGGTGCTGAATTCACTTAGTATTGATCTGGTATTGCCCCTTATTTCTTAGAAGGCTCCTGGTCTGTGCATGGTCATGGCATGGAAGAGCAAAAATTGCAAATTTCCTTGAGCTGTCTTAGGGGAAGAGCATGACCGTAGCCAAGGGACACAGTCTGGTGTCCCTAGGAGGAGGGGAGTCAAGGCCTACAGATTTACTGGCAAGGTTTAGAAACAACTGACTTAAATGGAGAACCTATCCTATGCCAGATAATATACTATAGCATTTACATAGCCTCATTTAATATTCCAGCTACTCAGAGAAGTAAGCTATACCTGCCAAAATCAGAGGTTGTTGCTGTTCTCTAGCTAAGTCATGTCTGACTCTTTGTGACCCCATGGACTGCAGCATGCCAGGCTTCCCTGTCCTTTAATATCTCCTGGAGCTTGCTCAAGCTCATGTTCATTGAGTCAGTGATGCTATCTAACCATTTCATCCTCTGTTGTCCCCTTCTTCTCATGCCCTCAATTTTTCCCAGCATCAGGGTTTTTTCCAATGAGTTGGCTTTTTGCATCAGGTGGTCAAAGTATTGGAGCTTCAGCACCAGTCTTTCCAATGAATATTCAGGATTAATTTCCTTTACGATTTATTGGTTTGATCTCCTTGCTGTCCAAGGGACTCTTAAGAGTCTTCTCCAGCACTACAATTCAAAAACTCAGCCTTCTTTATGATCCAGCTCCCACATTCATACATGACTACTGGAAAAACCATAGTTTTGACTAGATGGACCTTTGTTGGCAAAGTGATGTCTCTGCTTTTTTAATATGCTGCATAGGTTTTTGTCATAGCTTTTCTTCCAAGGAGCAAGTGTCTTTTAATTTCATGGCTGCAGTCACCATCTGCAGTGATTTTGGAGCCCAAGAAAATAAAATATGTCACTGTTTCCATTGCTTCCCCATCTATTTGCCATGAAGTGATGAGACCAGGTGCCATGATCTTAGTTTTTTGAATGCTGAGTTTCAAGCCAGCTTTTTCACTTCCTCTTTCACCATGGACGGAGGAGCCGTGGGCTACAGTCCACGGGGTCACAGAGTCGGATAAGACTGAGTGACTTCACTTTCACCCTCATCAAGAGGCTCTTTAGTTCCTCTTCACTTTCTGCCTTTAGGGTGGTATCTTTTGCATGTCTGAAGTTGTTGATATTTCTCCTAGCAATCCCGATTCCAGCTTGTGATTCATCCAGCCCAGCATTTTACATGATGTATTCTGCATATAAGTTAAACAAGCAGGGTGACAGTATATAGCCTTGGCCTACTCCTTTCCCAATTTTGAACCAGTTCATTGTTCCATGTCTGATTCTAACTGTTGCTTCTTGACCTGCATACAGATTTCTCAGGAGGAAGGTAAGGTTGTATGTATACCATCTCTTTAAGAATTTTCCACGATTTGCTGTGATTCACACAGTCAAAGGTTTAGTGTAGTCAATGAAGCAGAAGTAGATGGTTTTCTGGAATTCCCTTGCTTTTCTATGATCCAACAGATGTTGGCAATTTTTTTTTTCATTTATTTTTATTAGTTGGAGGCTAATTGCTTTACAATATTGCAGTGGTTTTTGTCATACATTGAAATGAATTAGCCATGGATTTACATGTATTCCCCATCCCGGTCCCCCCTCCCACCTCCCTCTCCACCCGATCCCTCTGGGTCTTCCCAGTGCACCAGGCCCGAGCACTTGTCTCATGCATTCAACCTGGGCTGGTGATCTGTTTCACCCTAGATAAAATACATGTTTCAATGCTGTTCTCTCGAAACATCCCACCCTCGCCTTCTCCCACAGAGTCCAAAAGTCTGTTCTGTACATCTGTGTCTCTTTTTCTGTTTTGCATATAGGGTTATCACTACCATCTTTCTAAATTCCATATATATGTGTTAGTATGCTGTAATGTTCTTTATCTTTCTGGCTTACTTCACTCTGTATAATGGGCTCCAGTTTCATCCATCTCATTAGAACTGATTGAAATGAATTCTTTTTAACGGCTGAGTAATATTCCATGGTGTATATGTACCACAGCTTCCTCATCCATTCATCTGCTGATGGGCATCTAGGTTGCTTCTATGTCCTGGCTATTATAAACAGTGCTGCGATGAACATTGAGGTGCACATGTCTCTTTCAGATCTGGTTTCCTCAGTGTGTATGCCCAGGAGTGGTATTGCTGGGTCATATGGCAGTTCTATTTCCAGTTTTTTAAGAAATCTCCACACTGTTCTCCATAGCAGCTGTACTAATTTGCATTCCCACCAACAGTGTAAGAGGGTTCCCTTTTCTCCACACCCTCTCCAGCATTTATTGCTTGTAGACTTTTGGATAGTAGCCATCCTGACTGGCGTGTAATGGTACCTCAATGTGGTTTTGATTTGCATTTCTCTGATAATGTGTGATGTTGAGCATCTTTTCATGTGTTTGTTAGCCATCTATATGTCTTCTTTGGAGAAATGTGTGTTTAGTTCTTTGGCCCATTTTTTGATTGGGTCATTTATTTTTCTGGAGTTGAGCTGGAGGAGTTGCTTGTATATTTTTGAGATTAATCCTTTGTCTGTTGCTTCGTTTGCTATTATTTTCTCCCAATCTGGGGGCTGTCTTTTCACCTTGCTTATAGTTTCCTTTGTTGTGCAAAAGCTTTTAAGTTTCATTAGGTCCCATTTGTTTATTTTTGCTTTTATTTCCAATATTCTGGGAGGTGGGTCATAGAGGATCCTGCTGTGATTTATGTCGGAAGAGTGTTTTGCCTATGTTCTCCTCTAGGAGTTTTATAGTTTCTGGTCTTATATTTAGATCTTTAATCCATTTTGAGTTTATTTTTGTGTATGGTGTTAGAAGGTTTTCTAGTTTCATTCTTTTACAAGTGGTTGACCAGTTTTCCCAGCACCACTTGTTAAAGAGGTTGTCTTTTTTCCATTGTATATCCTTGCCTCCTTTGTCAAAGATAAGGTGACCATAGGTTTGTGGATTTATCTCTGGGCTTTCTATCCTGTTCCATTGATCTATGTTTCTGTCTTTGTGCCAGAACCATACTGTCTTGATGAGATGTTGGCAATTTGATCTCTGGTTCCTCTGCCTTTTCTAAGTCCAGCTTGTACATCTGGAAGTTCTCAGTTCACATACTGTTGAAGCCTAACTTGAAGGATTTTGAGAACTACCTTGCTAGCGTGTGAGATGAGTGCCATTGTGCATTAGTTTGAATATTCTTTGGGAATGCCTTTTTTGGGGATTGGAATGAAAACTGACCTTTCCTTGTCCTCTGGCCACTGCTGAGTTTTCTAAATTTGCTGACATGCAGAGTGCAGCACTTTAACAGCATCATCTTCTAGGATTTGAAGTAGCTCAGCTGGAATTCCATCACCTTCACTAGGTTTGTTCATAGTAATGTGTCCTAAGGGTCACTAGACTTTACACTCCAGGATGTCTGGCTCTAGGTGAGTGATCACACCACTGTGGTTATCTAGGTCGTTAAGATCTTTTTTGTATAGTTCTTTTGTGTATTCTTGCCACAGATCACAGGTAAAGAAACAGATTTAGGGTGGTTAAGGGAACTGTCCAAGGTGCACAGTTGATGTCAGAGGCAGGCCTCAGCTCCAGGCTGCTGACTTCAGAACAAAGCTCTTTAATCACGGAGCCTTGTCATGGTTCTCAAAGAGAATAAAGATAAAGTCCTGCTGGAATTCAGCTCTAAGCTCTGAAGGATTGCAACATTCACTCATCCATCCACTCAGGCACGCAGAAAAACCTTGAGCACCTGCTGTTGGGTGACTGCGATGAGGGGTAACGCATGGAGTCCACAGGGCATGACCTCAAGTGCCTGACTCTCTAGGATCCACGCCTGCTTCCTCCTCTTCAAGCTGTGTGCCCACTGGCATACGACTGAGCTTCTCAGGGTCTCTTTTTTCCATCTGTAATATAGGGATGGTACTGCTCCCACTATCTCACGGGGGGTATTGTGAGGATTAGACGAGTTGTTGATAGAACTCTTAGAACAGCGCCCAGGGAATTCCCTGTCTGTCCAGTGGTTAGGACTCTGCACCTTTATTGCCGAGAGCTTGGGTTCAGAACAGTGCTTGGCACCTTCTAGGAGTTCTACAGGTGTCCTCTGTTTGGCAATGAGAACAAGAAGTCCTTCCCTCACAGGCACAGACATAACATGTCAGATAGTGACAAGAGAGATGAAGGTCCAGTTGGGGAATGCATGGCCTGGTGACTGGGGCTGCAGTCTTAGAGAGGTCTTCTGGGTTAATCTCTGATAAAGTGCCGTGACTGTTCTGTGCTCCTGGCCGGTTCCCCTCACTGGCATTTATGGGAAGCATTTTCCTTTAAAACTGACCCAGCCTTTGCAGGTTCCCAGGGCTGTGTTGACTTGCGTGTGAACAATGGATTGAAACTGCTGTTGTGATGTAACCCTGACCTGTCTCTTGCAGGAAGGGGAGCATCCCGAGGACAACTGTTTCCACTGCCGAGGGTCGGGCAGTGCCACCTGCTCTCTGTGCCACGGCAGCAAGTTCTCGATGCTGGCCAACAGATTTAAGGAGTCCTATCGGGCCCTGCGGTGCCCTGCCTGCAATGAGAATGGCCTGCAGCCTTGCCAGATCTGCAATCAATAGCCTGTGGGTTTCGTAGGTCCACTTTGATGGCATCCTCCCTGAAGTGATTTCTGATAAACTGCTCCTCCTCCATCTCCTCCTCCCTCTCCCAGCAAGGAAGCCGTCGTGGCTGCAGCACTTCCACCACTGACACAACTCAGTTACTCGATCACACTTTGTGAGGCTGGTAACTTCTCCACGTGGGTCTAAGTGACAGAGGCATTTTTGAATTAGAGTCTGTTTTGCAGCTGTTCTAAAATGATCCTTGTAGAACCATGCACATGTATCTCACTTGACTTAGCTCAGTTTTCTCTTTGCACAAGTGAACAAATAAATGTACAGTTCAGGCAGCAGTTTGAAGTCATTTTCCGGTTGGGAGTTATTTTGCAAAATTATGCAGTGGGAAAGGAATTAAAAAAAAAAAGGCAAGTTTCTTAGGAACTGAATTCCTGAATTTCTTAGGAACTGAAATGCTTATAATGCATTTCAAATTGGTCAAATTGCATCTTTTAATTAGCATAAGAGGAAAGGGATGCCCAATGCTGAATGCACTAGCATGTCAATGAAAAAAAAATAGGATGTACACGGTTCTTGCTGAAGACAGGCAAGCTGAGGAGGCCTTTTTTTTCAAAGTCCTGGGTCTCTCCCTTTGTGATGTGCTAGGGTAATATGCATGCAGGCAACAACCAGTGCTACTTCTTAGGACAAGATGAGATAAGATAATTCTGTGTGCCTCTGAACTACTGAGGTTATAAGCCAAGTCAAAACCATTTATGATAAATTTGGTGCTTAAGTGTGTGTATGTGTCTGTGTATGTGTATGTGTGTGTGTGAAATGACTTCTTCCAGCCCCTAAATTATTACCAAATAAATGAATTTATTATAAGGCTAAGATATAGTCATGATCTCTTCATAAAAGACTATGAATACATTATAGGTATCTATTGGAAATTAAAGAAAACAACAACTAACCAAGGCTGTTTAGCAATTATGTTTCTACTGTCTATGAATACACAAACTAAGAATAATTTTTCCTCTTAAAGTTGGTTGTAAAATTAGAAAAATAGTTTTGTTAATGAACTTTTGTAACTCTAACAGCCCCTCCCTTCCCCCTTGAGAAATCCATTACCTATTGAGGTGCATCACTTTTTATGGTAATTATTTTGATTTTCTTAACTTTTTCAAGATTTGTTTGTTATTCTCTATATTCAGCTGTTAAGATAATTCAGTAGTGGAGTGCTTTTCAGACAATATAAATACTTCTTATAAAAATGCCATTTGCATAGACATGGGTGGTCCTATAAACTGTCATACAAAGTCAAGTAAGTCAGTAAAACAAATATTGTATAGTAACACATATATGTGAAATCTAGAAAAATGGTACACATGAACCTGTTTGCAAAGCAAAAATAGAAACACAGACACAGAGAACAAATGTATGGACCCAGGTGAGGAGAGGAGGGATGGGATAAGTTGGGAGATTGACATTGACATATACACACTGTTGATGCTGTGCATAAAATGGATAACAAATGGGAACCTACTGTACTGCTCAGGGAGCTCTCCTCAGCCCTCTGTGGTGGCCTGAAGGGGAAGGAAATCCAGAAGAAGGGGTCTATATACATATAGCTGATTCGCTTTGCTCTACGGCAGAAATCAATACAACATTGTAAAGTAACCATACTCCAATAAAAATTTTAAAAAAGGTTACCTCTTGAAAAAAATATTAAAATATTTTTTGAAAACATGAGAATTTTGCCTGTTCTCGTTTAGCCAAAACAATGGAACTGTTGCTCACCAAATTTCTTTGCTTCTGTACTTAACCATTTCCTGACTGTTTATCTTTTCTTACAGCTATTGGCCCTTCCTGTCTTTTCAGATACCAGAGGAAAGAATGATGTCAAGAGACCCTAAGACTTTCAAGTGTATTCTTCTGCTTTTTAACAGGGACATTTGACAACAGATCCTATTTATTGGATGTGCAAGAAGGTATTACCCAGTGCTTGATGTTCAGTTACCCAGATGGGCACCATGCTTTGGTATCTTATGGGACTTGGAGTTTTGGTGGAGGAGATGGATATATAAATAGATAATTACCATACAGCGTGACAAATTCTGGAAAGGGGAATTTCAGGGAGCATTTGGAGCACATAGAAGGGATACCTAGTATAGACTGAGTGGGGTCAGAGTGGCTTTCTAGAGGAAGCGGTGTGAACTCTGCTGGCTCCTTTTCCTTACTGCATGCTCTTAAAAGCCTTTCATACATTTAATTTCATAATAAATATGTCTAGTAATGATTAAATTTATTTATTCAGTCAAGTATTTATTGAGCACTGAGGATGTATTAGTAGACTAAATAGATCAAATCTTGGCCCCTGGGGAGCTTATATTTTGTTGGGGTGATATTGGCAAAATATATGTATTTAGAGACAATATGCTACTGGAGATCAGTGGAGAAATAACTCCAGAAAGAATGAAGAGATGGAGCCAAAGCAAAAACAACACCCAGCTGTGGATGTGACTGAGGATGGAAGTAAAGTCCAATGCTATAAGGAGCAATATTGCATAGGAACCTGGAATGTTAGGTCCATGAATCAAGGTCAAACAGGATATAGCAAGAGTGAACATCACACATTCTAGGAATCAGTGAACTAAAATGGACTGGAAAGGGTGAATTTAACTCAGATGAGCATTATATCTACTACTGTGGGCAAGAATCCCTTAGAAGAAATGGAGTAGCCATCATAGTCAACATAGAGTCCAAAATGCAGTACTGGATGCAATCTCAAAAATGACAGAATGATCTCTGTTCCTTTCCAAGGCAAACCATTCAATATCACAGTAATCCAAGTCTATGCCCCGAACAGTAACGCTGAAGAAGCTGAAGTTGAACTGTTCTGTGAAGACCTACAAAACATTCCAGAACTAACACCCAAAAAAGATATCCTTTTAATTATAGGGGATTGGAACACAAAAGTAGGAAGACAAAAAATACCTGGAGTAACAGGCAAATTTGGTCTTGGAGTACAAAATGAAGCAGGGCAAAGGCTAATAGAGATTTACCAAGAGAACGCACCAGTTATAGCAAAAACCCTCTTCCAACAACACAGGAGAAACACAAGACTATACACATGGTCATCACCAGATGGTCAATACTGAAATCAGATTGATTATATTCTTTACAGCCAAAGAAGGAGAAGCTCTATACAGTCAGCAAAAACAAGACCAGGAGCTGACTGTGGCTCAGATCATGATCTCCTTATTGCCAAATTCAGACTTAAATTGAAGGAAGTAGGGAAAACCACTAGACCATTCAGGTATGATCTAAATCAAATATCTTATGACTATACAGTGGAAATGAGAAATAGATTCAAGGGATTAGATCTGATAGACAGAGTGCCTGAAGAACTATGGACAGAGATTCATGGCATTGTACTGGAGGCAGGGATCAAGAACATCCCCAAGAAAAAGAAATGCAAAAAGGCAAAATGGTTCTCTGAGGAGGCCTTACAAATAGCTATGAAAAGAAGAGAAGAGAAAGGCAAAGGGGAAAAAGAAAGATATACCCATTTGAATGCAGAGTTCCAAAGAATAACAAGGAGAGATAAGAAAGTCTTCCTCAGGGATCAATGCAAAGAAATAGAGGAAAACCATAGAATGGGAAAGACTAGAGATCTCTTCAAGAAAATGAGAGATGCCAAGGGAAGGTTTCATGCAAAGATGTGCACAATAAAGGACAGAAATGGTATGGACCTAACAGAAGCAGAAAATATTAAGAAGAGGTGGCAAGAATACACAGAAGAACTATACAAAAAAGGTCTTCAAGACCCAGGTAACCACGATGGTGTGATGACTCACCCAGAGCCAGACATCCTGGAATGCGAAGTCAAGTGGGCCGTAGGAAGTACTACTATGAACAAAGCTAGTGTAGGTGATGGAATTCCAGCTGAGCCATTTCAAATCCTAAAAGATGATGCTGTGAAAGTGCTGCACTCAGTATGCCAGCAAATTGGGAAAACTCAGCAGTGGCCACAGGACTGGAAAAGGTCAGTTTTCATTCCAATCCCAAAGAAAGGCAATGCCAAAGGATCCTCAAACTACCACACAATTGCACTCATCTCACACGCTAGTAAAGTGATGCTCAAAATTCTCCAAGCCAGGCTTCAATAGTACATGAACCATGAACTTCCAGATGTTCAATCTGGATTTAGAAAAGGCAGAGGAACCAGAGATCAAATTGCCAACATCCACTGGATCATCAAAAAAGCAACAGAGTTCTAGAAAAACATCTACTTCTGCTTTATTGACTATGCCAAAGCCTTTGACTGTGTGGATCACAATAAACTGTGGAAAATTCTGAAAGAGATAAGAATACCAGACCGCATGACCTGCCTCTTGAGAAAACAGGAAGCAACAGTTAGAACTGGACATGGAACAACAGACTGGCTCCAAATTGGGAAAGGAGTATGTCACGGCTGTATATTGTCACCTTGCTTATTTAAATTATATGCAGAGTACATCAGGAGAAATGCTGGGCTGGATGAAGCACAAGCTGGAATCAAGATTGCCAGGAGAAATATCAATCACCTCAGATATGCAGATCACACCACCCTTATGGCAGAAAACAAAGAAGAAGTACAGAGCCTCTTGATGAAAGTGAAAGAGGAGAGTGAAAAAGTTGGCTTAGAGCTCAACATTCAGAAAACTAAGATCAGGGCATCTGGTCCCATCACTTCATGACAAATAGATGGGGAAACAATGGAGACAGTGACAAACTTCATGTTTTTGGGCTCCAAAATCACTGCAGATGGTGACTCAGTTCAGTTCAGTTCAGTCACTCAGTTGTGTCCGACTCTTTGTGACCCCATGAACCATAACACACCAGGCCTCCCTGTCCATCACCAACTCCTGGAGCCTACCCAAACTCATGTCCATTGAGTCAGTGATGCCATCCAACCATCTCATCCTCTGTCGCCACCTTCTCCTCCTGCCTTCAATCTTTCCCAGCAACAGGGTCTTTTC